ATAAGATGCAGAAACCTGTTTGAGGAGTAAAATCAGCTGAAAGTAATTACATCAGAAAAGATGTTCTGTAACAAGCGCCTCTTGAGCCAATAATTCCTCACCATTATAGACAGACATCATCTTTAAAGCACACCGCTGAGGCAAGTGCACAACTTCCCAGAGAACAATAACAGAGTGAGTCACAAGCCCACAACACAACCCGCCACCAACGACTCGCCACAGTCTGCTCCAACTGTGACTGCCGCTCAGACGACTTCGTAAAATGTCAAACTGTAGCCTTTTAAAAAAGTATGCAAAATAAAACAAAACCACACTTGTTTTTTCCCCCTCTCATTTCATTGTAATGATGGAAATAAGGGCATCATTCTGAGATTAGTGCTTCTATTTCTCCTTGACTGGCTTTTGCTTTTTATGAGGCTGTGCTGAAGAGTTTTGGAGGAACTGAACAACAAAAGGAGGAAGATAGCAGTATCTTCATCTGTCAAAAGCCATAATTAAAATTCAATGCTTTTATCAAGTAGGTGAGATAAGTTAAATTAGAATACCATTTTGCTATGTAAGCAGTTTGATTTAGTTTGACTTTCAAATATTTTGGAGTACAGTGGAGGTAATTTAGTGACTCTAAAGTGTCCATCCAAGGTCTATTTCACTTCCTTTCCACCTCTGTACTTGCAAGTTGATATCCAAATAAAGCATGATCCATTGTTTCCAAATACACTGCCTGGCCAATCAGTCAATCAATCAATAAATCAATCAATAAATCAATAAATAAATAAATAGAAAAATTCAGCACCTAGATTTAACTAAGAGCTATGATCTTGGTCTTGGGGTTGCTGCAGTTGGTCAGGTCTATGTTCAGCATCAGTATGTACTCAAAGAATGAGGTCAGCTGACTACCTGAATATACTGAATGACCAGATTATTCCATCAATAGATTTTTTCCTTCCCTGATGGCACGGCCATATACCAAGAAGACAATGCCAGGATTGATCGGGCTGGAAGTGTGAAAGAGTGGTTCGGGGAGCATGAGACACCATTTTCACACATGGATTGGCTCCACAAAGGCTGTGTCCAAAACATTTTGGACACAGCCAGAGTCCATTGACAATCTTTGAGATGTGCTGGAGATGGTCAGACTCCATCATCAATGCAAGATCTTGGTGAAAAATGAAAGCAACACTGGGTAGAAATAAATCCCGTGACACTGCAGAAGCTTCTCGAAACTACAACCCCTGGCAAAAAGTATGAAATCACCAGACTTGGATGAGCACTCATTCATACATTTCATTCTGTAAAACAAACTCAGATTCAAAACATGATACAATAATAAGGTCATTCCAAAGTGCAACTTGTTGACTTTCAGGAACACTCAAAGAAATGAAGAGAAAACATTGTGGAAGTCAGTGAATGTTACTTTTATTGACCAAGCACAGGGAAAAAAAATGTGGAATCACTCAATTCTGAGGAAAAAAGTATGGAATCATGAAAAACAGATAAAGAAAAGACCATCCAAAATACATCACTAGTTGCACCACCTTTGGCTTTTACAATGACTTGCAGTTTCTGAGGCAAGGACTTGATGAGTGACAAACAGTATTCTTCATCAATTTGGTGCCAACTCTTTTTGATAGCCGTTGCCAGATCAGCTTTGCAGGTCGGAGCCTTCTAGTGGACCATTTTTTTTTTTCAATTTAATCCACAGACTTTCAATTGGGTTGAGATCTGGACTTTTTGCAGGCCATGACATCGACTGAATGTGTCTTTCTCCAAGGAATGCCTTCACTGTTTTTGCCCTACGGCATGATGCATTGTCATCTTGGAAAATTATTGCATCACCTCCAAACATCTGTTCAATTGAAGGGATGAGAAAACTGTCCAAAATGTCAGTGTAAACTTGAGCAATGATACAAGAATTAACCACAGTCATCTCCCCAGTGCCTTTGCCTGACATGCAGCCCCATACCATCAAGGACTGTGGAAATTTGATTGTTTTCTTCAGGCAGTCCTCTTCACAAATCTCACTGGAACGGCACCAAACAAAAGTTCCAGCATCATCACCTTGTCCAACACAAATTCTTGACTCATCGCTGAAGAGAACTTTACTCCTTAGCCCATTGCAGTCTTGTTCTTTTTTTGTTTAGGTGTCAATGATGGTTTTCTTTTAGCTTTCCTGTATTGAAATCCCATTTCCTTTAGGCAATTTCTTACGGTTCAGTCACATACATTGGCTCCAGCTTCCTCCCATTTATGCTTCAGCTGTTTAGTTGTACTTTTTCAGTTTTCAAGACAAATGGCCTTAAGTTTGTCTTGATGCTTTGATGTCTTCTTTGGTCTACCAGTACGCTTGGCTTTAACAACCATTTCATGCTGTTTGTATTTGGTCCATATCTTGGATACAGCTGAATGTGAACAGTTCACATCTTTAGCAACCAGGAGTGAAGAGTTACCTTCTTCAAGAAGTTTCATAATTCTCTCTTTTGTTTCAAGAGACGTTTCTCTTGTTGGAGCCATGGTTCTTGCCACTCCACTTCGTCCAGCAGCCCTCCAAGGTGTCATGACTGCAGGTGTTTTTAACTGCAGTCTAACGAGCAGATCTAATCTGAGGCAGGTATCCATTAAGGGAAAGGAAATTGACTGGGTGTGTCCTTATTTTCTACTTCCAATTTTCATGATTCCATGCTTTTAATCCTCAGAATTGAGTGATTCCATATTTTTTTCCCTGTGCTTGGTCAATAAAAGTAACATTCACTGACTTCCACAATGTTTTCTCTTCATTTCTTTGAGTGTTCCTGAAAGTCAACAAGTTGCACTTTGGAGTGACCTTATTATTGTATCATGTTTTTGATCAGAGTTTGTTTTACAGAATGAAATGTCTGAATGAGTGCTCATCAAAGACTGGTGATTCCATACTTTTTGCCAGGGGTTGTTTGCCACAGCAAATGTGTGCCGTAATCAAAGCTAAAGGCGGTCCAATGAAATATTAGAGTGTCACCTTTTTTTTTGACCTGGCAGTGTGACTTTAGTTTCTACTGTCATCATCATCAGTGAAACTGAAAGATATTTTGCACATTTACAGTTAGAGCAAGTATGGGCAACTTAAATGATGGAAAGGACCACAAGTTTTAGTAGCATTTCTGACAAAATTTAGTCAAATCTTTTGCATTTTGAGTATATAAGTCATGCCTGTATCTTGCATTCTAAATTTAGAGAGAAAGAAATAATGAGAATTTAGACTTACTAAACATCAAAGCATGCCCTCTGCCACTTATAAAAATAAAAGAAAATCACAATGATGTTATTTTGTAGGCTACTTTGTGGTTCAGTTTGTTTCACAAAATAAAAAAGGAATCATTAATGAATTTTTGTACATATTAATAAAAAAGTATTGTTTATTATTTTTTTTCAGTGCTACACAACATTATAAAATATAAATCACATGCATTTTCAGATTACGGAAAAAAGAATCACACTTTAACAAAGATGTAACAGACTCAGAAATGGTTATGGTTATGTTGTAAACCTTCTCATTATATCACCTTTTCTGGTGCAGTTAACAGGTATATGTATATTATATATATGTATATATAAAAGAACATATATATGTGGTAATTGATTTTTATGCATTCATTTTTGTTGCAATTATGTTGTTTATTGGTAGAAATATTTTCATTTTAGCCTGTCAGATTTTGCACATAACTAGTTAATTTTTTGTCGTATGACATTGTGTCATGATCAGTTTACTCAGTACTAGAGAAGGTTTACACTTACTTGAGTACAAGTCTGATTACTCTATTCACATCTGGTCAAGAGGTAAACAAACAGAATTATCAATAGCTTACATTAGCTTGTGTAGTAGTTAAACAACGGTTAAGCTAGTTAATTTTCTGTTATGATCAGTTATTCAGTACTAGAGAAGCTTTACGCTTACTTCAGTACAAGTCTGGCTACTCTATTCACATTTGATCAAGGGGTAAACAAACAGAAGTAACAATAGTTTACATTAGCTTGCGGTTTTCTTACCTGGGTCTGCTAACCTTCACTGAAGACGTCTCCTTGGAGTTTTTATCGGGACCTCGTAGCCAAGCCACTTTTCTGGTACCGGGTGGTCCTCTGTAGGTCTTTTTTCCACGAAATGAAAAGAGCAAACATATAGTAGTTTCGGTGGTTTCTTCAAATTTAAAGCTTTTAACCACTGGCGAAGGGTTTCTTCATTCTTCGGCGGAGGATGAAGGTCATACGGCGCATCACATCCATGTTCAGCTCTCGTACGTGGTTTATGAATAAAACATTCCTGCTCCAGGTAATTATACCTTTTGTACCAGTTATTATGACACCCTCTAACTGCACAGACAATCCCAGTCTTCACAATTCCACAATGGCAACAGCCTACACCACACAACAGTACATGAAAGAATTGGAACAACATCTGAAAAATACTTTCGCTTTTGCTCAGAAAAATCTTCAAAAAACCGCTGAAGGGCGCAAAGCGTACTATGACCAAAAAGCCTCTCACGAAGAACTTCAGGTGGGAGACAAAGTCTGGTACTACAACNACGCGCACACACACACATATATATATATATACATAGAAAATATTTCTAACTGGACCAGAAAAGGTGATATAATGAGAAGGTTTACAACATAACCAGTATCAATTACAAAAATAACACTCATTTGGCTCAATAAGCAGATGTAGACAGCAGAGAAAAGAGGTTAAATGGCTGCAACATTGCACTGCGATGTATACTGTACAAAAATAATTGCATATTTATCTCACAGCTTAACCAGTCAAATGGTGAAAAAGAACACAAACAATGTAAATTTAGTGTTTCCACAAGGTCAAAATATTAAATTAGAGGTTAAGTAACAAAACTAATGAGTTTTCTTTTTTAAAATAAGGAAATGTAAGCAGACAAAAAGACATCATCAAAATATGCAAACTTTGAGCTTCAGCTGTGGGCAGCTATGTTACTGGCAGTGCTGCAAATATGGGTATTAGAAAAAATATATAGGCTAAACACTCTCCTTTATTATCTTCAAAACTATAGTGTTCTTCCAATACTTATAATGGCAGGGACAGATTAGTTAATCTGCGTAACAGGCATTTAGCACAGTTCAGACAAAACGTTTATTTAGTTTCTCATTTRGCCCCTTTTAAAAATAATATATTAGTTGCATAGTTACATGTAAACCTGCAGTCATACCTCTATATTTGGTTTTTAAGTAGAAAATGGAATAAGAATGGCTTCATTTTCTTTCAAGATAAAAGCACCACAAAGAGAAAAATATTTATATATTCATCTAAAGTAACAAGGGTACGTGTGTCAAAATACAGCATGATAATTGGACTCCAGATCTGCGCCTCAGAGCAAGGCATTAGTCTCTCCTGAGCATGTTGGGATAAGGGACACTGGGGTGTGTGGTTCTGAAGTGTATAATAGTCTATGATAGCAGTACTGTCAGCAGCCCCCCCCCCCCCCCCCCTCACTGTTCTTCCTCCTCACGTAGGAACTGGAAGACGGATGAGAAATCCTTGTTAGCGTAGCCGCGGGAGCACATGACTCTGTAGATCTGGTGGGCAAGGGATCCCAAAGGGATGGGAGTCTTTGTGTTGGTGGCAGTGTTTTGTGCCAAACCAAGATCCTGTACACAGTGACATGAAAGGAGAGCGAGGGAAAATAATCAGGTAATCATCTTTACTGAGTTTTTCTAAGAAGAAACATCCACTTTTGTTTAGTCAATGAAAACACAGACCGGACCATACAAAGGTGAGCAGGGAGGTTACCTTTGTAAAATAAAACAAAACTTGCAAGACTTTTAAATAAAACAAATATTAAGTGGAAAATTTGCATTTCCTGCAAAATGAAGTGTGAATATTTAATGCTGAAAAAACTTTGCTAAATAGACAAAAAAAAAACCTGGAAAAAGTAGCTCAAAGGACACAAATAAACTGAAAGAGCATTTAGCATTAAATTAAGAAGCCAAAATTATCACCAAAATGTGACTTTAGTTGAAAAAAGCTCAAATTTGCTAAAAACTAGCTAAAACCCCCCACAAAACAGCTGAAATTAGCAGAAAACAGCTGAAAAAGGCACATCAAAAACCTTGAAATTAGCAGAAGAATGGTAGAAAATGTCAAAATAATAGCTAAAAAAGCAAAAAAGGCTAAAATGTCAACGATCTCAATAGTGTTAATGCTTTATAATAATATACTGGCTGATTATTATTTCGTCAATAAAACAAAAACAGATGAAGTCTCAAAAACTGAAAACATTCATTGATTTTTTTACTAGACATTTTAAGGATTTTCATGTAATGTTTAAGACACTCAAATTGGGTGTGTGTAAGTTTTGTGCACTATTACATGTATTTTATGGACATGGAAAATGCATTTGACAACATCCCACTGGGTGATCTGTTGTATTTGTGGGACCAGACCTACAGTTGGAAATCCTTCAGCTCCCATCCAGCTGGAACTTTGTCCACAATGCTTTCAACAAATGCTATTAGCAACCAAACATAGCTTTTATTTAGCATGTGCAAGCTGCTCATCATCAAACCCCTCATTTATTTTTTCATTTTGGAATTGGACATGTCCACTTCCTGCTATGGTGTGATAATCTTAAAACCAACAATCAGAACTTAAAACAAAGAGACATTACCTTGGCCATTAACGTCGTCCCAAAGCCACCCTGGTAGTTGTTGGCAGAAGGGACACCCTCCATCACACCTGGGACTGGGTTATACGTGTCACTGGACCAGCAACGACCCGAGGACATGTTGAGGATCTTTGCAAGCAGCTTAGGGTCCAAACCCAGTCTGAGGAAAGGAGAACGAGAAAGACGAGTATTGTTTGCTTCGATCCTTTGACTAATGAAACGGCTAAAGTGTTTTAACTAACCTGAAAATACGATTTCTTCTATGAACGGTAAAGCAAACCTTTGGGCTTTCAGAAACTTATAATTCCATGGATGAAATAGTTGGAAAGTGTTCACGGATTAGGACTGACCAAGTTAAGATGAACAGCACTGACTTCAACGGTCATTTTCAAGTTTGTGAAGAAATGCAACGGAACATCGAGTTAGCAGCGCCTGGTGATTCTGGTGACCCCTGTTGAACTTTAAGCCTGGCTGTGATCATTCCTCAGTGTTAATGGCTGAAGCCTTTGTAATGCTGGCTAATGCAGTATTGATGTTCAGCACCAGAACTATCCTTCATCATCCTCTCTTCTAAGAAAGTGGAGGAGGAGAAGTGGCTAAACAGCACAGGGGAGCCATAAACACCTACTGTCACATTTCGAGGTGCACTTTTTTTTGCTCTGCTCCATTTTGCGGCAACCTACTTTTCATAAGCAAGGGAGCAAATCTCAGTGCTAAACTGAAATAAAAAAATGCTAATCAGACGAAGAAAGGGACAAAACAGACAAAAGCAAAGAGTGAAAACGAGTGCCAACCATTACAGCAGGGAGGGTGTAACTACAGCACATTCAAATGTGCTTGTGCAGTGCAGCTTTTGTATTTAAAAGGCCACTGTAAAGCCGACCACATCAAGTCTTAGCAGCTTTAGTTTATTGTTACTTACAGGCCTGGAACTCTATTCTGCTCTCAATATGACGATTAAACCATCATAGGTCCTTAAAATCAGCAGCACTCCCCTCCTTCTCTTTTTCCACCTGGTTTTCATTCCGCCATTACTACCACAGTTTTATTAGCTGCCTACTAACTAATTAAGAATAGGGATTGCATTTATTTTCGTGTCTTTTCCCTCCTTCCTTCAATGCTTATGTGTCCTCTCAGACTCTCTAATTGTTTAACCAGCAGTTTTGGAAATGTGGCATCAGTGGTGAGTTTGTAAAAAACAAAATAAAGCAATCACATTTGGCTGTTTTAGTTTACGCTTGTACGCACGTCTCGCCGTCCGCTTTCTCCTCTGCGCCTCCTCCCCCTCCTTCACCATCTATCCTGACACCTCCCTGTCTGAGGACTCTTGGGGACATATGTTTGACATCGCAAATGCCCCCCCTCCCGCCAACTCTCCCCACACACTAGCAGGCGGCCCCTCCCAACGTTCTGGGTCAGCAGCTGAAAAGGTTACCGGCTGAGCTACAATAAAACGCGTCCGAGCGCACAGATCGTTTGTTATAGCGACCAGAGACGCTGACGGGGAGCTGTTGTCCTCTGTTAACGATAAATCAATGAAGTTCTTCTCGTGGTCCTTTTTACACACACACACCCACTCAGCTGTGGTTATTAGCCGACGCGGCGGTGTTGCTCTTCCCCTCCGTTAATCTGCGTGGAGAAGAGGACATGTCACGCTTTAACGAGACGGACATGGATAAACAGGCGTGAACGGTGAAACAAACACATCGGTGCAGATTAAGAAAAAAAAGGAAGCGCGATGGAGCTACAGATGGAAACAAGAGGGGAGAATGTTTGTGTGCTCGGAGCGCTAGCAGGTGGAGTTCATTTGCTGCGCAGATATTAAACGTCTGTTTCATCGTGATTAGCTTTTCATCCTCATTGGAGGCCAGATGAGAGGAAAACCAACCCGTCTCCCTGTTTATTATTTCATTAAAAGAGCTAACGAGCACATGTACACAGACGAGCCTTTACTGTCCCCCTTATAGCGACAATAAGCGTGTTTATCGCCCGCGTTTAATCTTTATCACTGCATATGCTCACAACTCATTGAAACTCCTRGAGGAGAAGATGTTTGATCTATTCCAAAGAGTCAGGCAGCAAGACGATTCGGCACTGCTCCTCGTAAAGGGAACGGAGAAGCAAGCGCCTTCTTATGTTTGCGTCAGTGAGAACATGAGAACGTAGCAGGTTAGAGGAAGCTGCAAAAGCCCTCTTCTCTAGTCATCTTTCTAATCTCTATTTATTTGCAGCTTCTTATTTTCGAATTAGCAGATGACTGATAAACTAAATGAGAAATGAAAGCAGGAACGAAGCAGACAAGGGACAAAAGAAAAAAAACACCCAACAAAGCAAGCAAAAAAAACAAAAACAAAAAGGAACGCGAAAGAAAATGGTTTGCATCGAGGTTTGGGGACTCTCATGGTGTGTGTGTGTGTGTGTGTGTGTGTGTGTGTGTGTGTGTGTGTGTGTGTGTGCTCATAATTGTCATGCTTGGCCATTCCTTGTACTAAGAGAGCGTCACGCTCTGCTGGAGACGGTCAGCGCTTCCATCTGAGATCAACAAATTAGCTCCATGAACAGAACTGTGTGTGTGTGTGTCTGTGTGCCTGTTTGTGTGTCTGCCAGCATGTGCAGGTAACGACACGCACACACACCTAAAGAAAGGGCAGCTCTATCAGACCCAGGTCCAGCATGATAAAATGTTGTTTCCAGTTTTCTGTAAATTGGTTCTGAATGCTTGGTCTCTTTTGCATTGGACTGTATCTGTGTGTGTGTGTGTGTGTGTGTGTGTGTGTGTGTACATTCGTGCCTTCTTCTATGCATAAGGAGCTGGGCCGCAATGCAGCATGGGAGATTTACGCATGCGAATTCTCTCTAAATGATGACAGACTTTGTCAAGCTCTCTAATAAAGCCCCAGAGATGCTTGAGATGGAAGAGGGGGAAATGTAGAAACACTAGACACGCACACACAGACACACACACACACACACACAATGCAAGCATGCTTGTGTCACCAAGACTGCATAAGGGTCAGCATAGCCAAAAAAAAAAAGATAATTCACATTCAAAGTGATGGAATGCAGTAGGAAGTATTTTTCTGCAGGAATACATTGGAATGAATATACTGCGAGAACTTGTACAGATAGAAAACTCTTATTTTCAATGTATCTGATTGTAAATCAGCATCTTTGCCTGCGTGTGTTTTGTGTGTGTGCGCGCTTCAAAGACTGTGGCGATGTGTAAATCTGTGTTGTTCACTTAATGCCTCCATATTTCAGAGGCCTAGAGAGGGGATTTATGTCTGACTGCTCATGCCAATTTTCTTCCTCCGTCTCAGCACAGATAAATCAGGCTCGCTAACACAGCTGCACTGAGCAAAGAGCAATTCATTCACACTCACACATGCGCAAAACTGGAAGCACATACAATTTGACATTGTAAAACCCATAAAAACACATAATGGAGCAACAGTGACGAGAAGGAAAAAAACTATTATTGACGAGGGAAAGAGTGGAAAAGAAATTCACACCTCATTCATCTGAGGAACAAACAATATTTAGACCTGCTGTGTGAAATTTGCATCCAAATCCTAGGTAGGTAACAGGGTATATTAAATAAAAATACACTTGAGTTTTAATAAAATGTACTTGTAACTGTTTTATGATTTTGTTGGTTTAGTTCTGAGAACTTCATTTCCCATAATCCTTAACCACCTGGTCAAAAACACGCCGTAAGGAAGCAGTCTTGATGACAGGATTTTCAGRCGGTGTTCTGCGGCAGGATGCAAGTGAACACTCAATCAGCAGATGTAAAAGAGGCTGAGGCTCCTCCCCCTCTCATCCATCTTACTCTAACAGAGGGACCTCTGACTCCAGGAAAGGTTGACCCCTTTGCACTTCAATAAACTACACACTCACACGCAGAAACACATTTCTAAACCTGTACTGAAGAAGTACGTTGCCGTTTACGGTTGCATGCCTGGTAAAGTCGCTGCTTTTTATAGTGACAGCTATATCTAAGGGAAACATCACGGATGAACTAATGGTAAATGGCAGTGGCCTAAAAACGTTTCATTTAGGTTGGTGCTTTACTTTCCATGAAGACTGAATCACTTATTTTAAAAAAGCTCTATTTGCGTTCAGATGATAAAACTGTTCCATGTAAACCGAGCTACAGGTGTACCTTTGGCTTGCCTTTAGCATAGCAAGTAGCTAGCAAATTAGCAAAGCGCTTGCTCTGAGTACCTGATGCCAAGGTTCATGGTTTCAGCAGTTCCAATCATCCCAATGGCCAGCATCATATTGTTACAGAGCTTTACTGCCTGGAGGATTTAAACAGAAACAGGACAGAACTTTAAATTCAGTAAAATAACGCTTAGAAAACCGACAATAAATGTAAAGAAGTTTGTGATGTTTTAGGTTGTAACTCTTAAAAAATAAACTAGTGAGAGTAGAATAATGGAAGGTCACAGGAAGGATAGCTGAGCAGTACATTTTTGAACTGTCTGGTCCTGAGAAAAGATAAGCAGTGATTCATGACAGAAAAGGAAGGGTTCAAAAATATTTAGATTTATACTTGGTTTTGCAACAAAGCTCCAGAATATTGAGACATTAGTTCTATAAATTATAGACTAGATGACGACTAATAGATACTAGCTGTTACTCAAATATCTGGATGCTTAAATTATGTAACGTAAGAATGTAAACATTTACTGTTTTGTATCTTGTAACGTCATCCTGGATGGATGGATGGTTTTAAGTTAGTTTGAGTGTTTGGGCATCTGTTTGTACCTGTCCAGTGCCAACTTGTCCACAGTAAACAACATTGGCTCCCATGCAGCTGAGCAATTCCTGCGCAGCGTTGTACTCCTCCTGCAGTCCACCAACCATGAAGGTCAGTTTGCCCATGTTGGCAGCCCCGACACCTAAACAACAACAACAACGCAGAGTAAGGTTAGCAGACTGTATACAACTGACATAAGGTTTTACAACCTTAATTCTGAAAAAGTTAGGACTTTGTCTTAAACCATACTGTTTTTTTTTTATTTAGAAAATTATATACAGATTTAGAACCATGTATGATCCCAGCTATACACCATCCTTTTTTCTTGCATATCAAAGCAAGAAAACATAAAACCACATAATGCATCCATTACAACAGCGTGTCTTTGTAGTAGAAGAGTCTGGGTGCTGAACTGGTCTGCAGTCCAGACCTCTCATAAATGGAAAACATTTGGAGCACCACCAGGAAACAAAACATCCAGAAAAAACAAACAAGATTACTGAACAGTTAGAGTCCTATATCAGAAAAAAAATGAAGACATCATTCCCCTCCAATAGCTCCAGGTCTCCACAGTCCCTATGTTTACAGCCCTTTGTTAAAAGAAGAGGGGATTCTTCACAGAGGTAAACATGTCCCTATCCAAACCTTTTTGCCATAAATATTCTAAATTACTTGTTCTTTTCAAAATAAAAATGGGTTAATGAGATTTATTTATTACATTACGCCAACTTTTAAGCATTGGGATTGTAAAAGAGTCAAAACATAAATGTAAACCGGATTAAAAAAAACGAAAATCAACACTTGAACATATGAATCCTAAATTTGTAAATGAAGATTATGAGAAGACGTAATACACCAAAAACTCGATTGTTTTGATTCAACACGGTCCACTGATGGTTTTTGTCTTCCTACGTCAGCTGTGTGCTGTTCTGTGTGTGTATGTGACATGTGTAATGAGACAGACGTGTTAAGTCGTGGCACAGCAGAGGGACACAGCTATCTTTGAAAGCCGATTGTTGCAATCATCCACTGCACAACCCTCGTGGGAACCCTTGCCTTTTGTCTTGTCACCCTGACTCTTTCACATTCACACAAACAGCTGGGCCTGAGGCCGGACCCCMTCGTGGGGGTATCAGTGACAGGCGTGAGGGGTAATTAACTTTACACTTTATCATGTTCAATTAGGCGTCCCTCCCCGTGCCTGATGGCTTAAGGAGCGTGCCATGTTGTAGGAGTTAACCCACCCCTCCACCCTCTCCACAGGGTTCTTAAGGCAGAAATCCCTTTTTCACAGGAGATTGGGCCGAGCCGGTCTGAGCCGTTAATGCAATGAAACAGTTACCTAAACGCTTCTGTTACTGAATCTGACCCTGTGACTTTAGTGTTAACTGGATAGATTTATTGTATGTATCTAAGATAACAGAAGTTTTATTTATTGCTGAGGTACACTACCAGGCAAACGTTTTAACCCACAACTAATTTCTTTATAATTTACTTCCAAGGTCTTTTAATCTTTTAAAGTAACTTGAAYAACAGTTCTTTAAGCCTTTCAAAGGTCCTTCAAACAAACAAAAAAGTACATAAACCAGAAGAAAATGTCAGGTCTTTATGATAAAGAAAACAGCAAAGGCCTGACTCAGGATCTAGTTGATCCTATATTGTCCAACAGCTCTTTGGGAATCAGCTTTTTGTCACTAAAACATTGTTTTGTCTAACAAAACCTAAATCTAGTTTTGTCTTTTTTAGATTCAATAGGAACAAATAGCCTATATGCCACGGTCATTAATGACGTATTTCAGGTAAAATTTTTGCCACGCTCCTCCCCTCCACCACTCCCTGCTTACTGCCTATGTTTTTACCATTAGCTGGTACTAGTCCGTGAAAAAGTCACAAAAGTTAAAGCATCTGTGATCTACTGGTATAAAACATGAGTTCTGTTGTGTGCCGTTGTGTCCACTAAGCAGCAGATACGATCGAGTAGTTGATATTTTATCCATTTTCCTCTTGATGAGGAGGTGACAGCAGAGGATCATAGCATTACAGGGAAAACTTATCTTTAAAAGCTCACGCTTGCGTTTGTAATCGGCATTTCTAACCTGAGGATATTCAAGAGCCAGCATCAGAAATGAGAAGACGGAGGTTACAAAAGGGAGATGTACATTTATCCCCTTTTACTGCCAAGACAAGAGAGGAAAGACCACCTCCACACGACAGCTAGCAGGAAGCTAACACAGCAGCCGGTACAAAAGTAGGTGTGTGTGCGCGTGCGTTTGTGTTATATGAAATGATTTTATGCGACTTTGTCATGAGTTTTATGCAAAAGTAAAACCTTGTTAGAGTGTATATTATAGCGTAGACTAAAGCCGAGTGACGAGTGCACCCCCCTCCTCCCCCCGAGCACCGAGAGCAGCAGAACCTCCGCCTGATAATCATTACATTTTAAGTTCACTAACGTCGGGGAAAACGATCCAAACCATACAAGTAGCCCATCGATTTAAAGCCCAGACTCTGCTCCTTCCAACAATATAAGTGTACAGCTCTACGTGAAAAATTCACGGAACAAGCAGCCACGGAATAGAAAAAAAAGGCTAAATTCCGGAACCATAAACACGAACGTCTTTCCTTTGTTTTTATGGCTTTAATCCACTTTGGAGTGATTTTTTTTCCACTTGTCTGAACCTGTACGTCTCCTGTGTTAATGTTGGTACATGTAATATGCTAACTATGTTCTGTGGAGATCATTAAGAGTGGTTGTCAGGTGAAAAAATCTTTTGCTAACACTGTGTTGACCGTGAACCGGAAGTGTTGGGAGTGGCATCAAGTGCTGGGCCGGATGTCCGTGGCATATAGGTTATTGGGTTTATGTGACAGGCTAGTGGCAACAAAGAACCTCAAGATTCCATTTAAACGTGCATCTTTGCTAAATGCTGTAATATGTCTCTACACAGCAGTGTAGCATTCATTCAGTTTAGGAGCCTCTCTTTGTCTAGTTAAGTGACTTAAATAAAAAAAACATACCTGGACTGAAAATGGGTCAAAAAGCAGGTGAAATACATCGATTAAATTGTAAATCAATCACTTATGAAGACACTAAAACAGAAAAAAAAAAAAATCAAAGATACATACAGAAACTTATAAGCTACTTTTACAGCCCAAAGTTCATGGAGGCAGTTATAATGAAATGTTCAAACCTCTCTTTGGGGTGCAGTCAAGCTGTAATGAAAGGCCTCTAACTAGTGAAAACCTAATAATGCCTCAGTTAATAATTAAAAGGGATTTAAATGAGACAAAACAGCTGAAAGCACATTATCAGACTTCACTGTGGAGGAGAGGAAAAATCTGTTGCATTTTTCCCTGCTCCTAAACAAACACAGTATATCTCCCTTCTTATGCCACTCCTTTAATTGGCTGTGCTGTTGTCAAGCGTCTGCTGATGCCACTGTATGTATCTGTGTATGTTTGTCAGTGATGAGCTGTCAGCGAATCATTAAGGCCACATAATGAAGTCTGAAGCCCACGATGCAGCAGCTGCCTGTGGACCAAAGCTAACATGCCCTCAACATAAGGTCATCATAGACATATGATCATCTGACACAAAGGAGTTTTCTTTGTGTCAGACTTTTCATAAAAAAAAAACAGTTTTATTTCAATTTATTATTAGACAAAAAAATTCTGGCAACTGTAATTATATATAGTTGCGATATTTCAGATGGTAGCAGCAGTTTTCTCATGTTTCTACTTCATATTCCAACCTTTACCTCACAGGGTGAGCCTTTCGAAGGCAAACACGTCAACACAAACACAGAGCTGTGTGACAACTGTGCAGGTTCATTAGTGCAGATCACTGTTTGCAGACGACTAAAGAGGAGATTATTGATGAAACACTCGACGCTCTGATCAATATATCTCRCGGAGGAGAGAAAGGAGGAGATAGAGCTAAGAAGGGAAACGATCTTTCTCTTTCTACCTCCCAGTGTCCCTTCCCTAAATTACYTAATCACCCATAATAAGCTTTTATGATCTGCAGTGGATTTCTATAAGGAGTGACACCAGGATGATGGAGGATCCTTGTAGGTGAAAGAAAAAGACATCATTAGCATAGCAGGATGCGTGTGTAGGGATCTCGAGGGTATCTGTGAGTCTGCTCATTGTGCGCGGGCTGCTGTGTATTTGTGATGTGTGATTTTTTTTAAGGTGTTGTCTATGTGATGCGTGCACTTTCACTGTACATGCGTAAGTGGGGGGCTTGCCCATTCTCAGGCTGGTCCTGTCAGAGACGGATTAAAAAGGAATCCTAATGAGGCTTCCTGAGTGCTGGGTCTGCCGGCTCATCCATCCCAGCWGGAGTGACAGTCCTGGATCGTTAGTGCTGCGTCCTGCGCAAATGCACAACGCCCCCTAGGGGGGTAGGAAACTAGGAGTGTGTATTTGAGTGGAGTTGAATGAAAAAGACTGAATAAAGAGCAAAGAATGCTCAGAAATGCTAAGAAGACATCCACAACAGAAAGTTGTGTACACACACTAAATAAATAAATAAATAAAATAAAAAAACATGAATATTAAAAGTTGAGCAGCAAATTTCTAAAATGCTGCGCAAAATGTTAAACTGCCTTCAATTTCTTAAAGTCTTGGATAAAAAGTTGTTCAACATTTTTTCTTAAGACGTCGGTTGCTGTTTTCACTCATTTTCAGTCTTCGCCTTGTACCTGACTAATGCAGTATACTGTGCAATTTATGCCAAAAATTTTGAGAATTGGACCAATTGAGGATAGAAGAAGTTGCCACATGCCAAAAAATGTCAGCCAAATGTCATATCTTCAAATAAAAAGGAAATATTAAAATATTCTGAGATAGAACCCAAGAGATGAGTCATCCTTCAGTTCATCATTAATTATTCTTTTAGAATCACCTTGTTGGTATCATATTTCAATGAATTTATTTTATATATATATACAAAAAAGGGAACAACACCTGTCTTTGTGACAGGCAGCTGATAAACAAATGCCTAAAGATCCATCCATCCATCCTTACGCATGGATGGATCTTCAAATTAAAATTTAATCCATGCTAAAATGTCTGTTCTGTGTAGCAAACACTGTCTGATCACGCGACTTTAGGAGCCTTTTTTATGTCTGCATGATT